CTTATTTTCCGGCACTCCCACATTCATTTTCCTGGCAATTACGCATATGAGACATCACGCATACGCCACATATGCCAGATCTGCATCTTTGCTGCCATTGCTTTTCCGGCTGAAACCCTTTTTCCGCTAGCTCTGGAAAAACAACAAAAACAAACTCGGAAATCGATTAGTCATAGACATAAAACCCAACTGAATGTTTATCGCTGATAGTTTTTCCGTTTTCCACGTAATTAAGAGGTTCAAGGGTAATAACCATTTTGCATGGCAGACGATACTCCTTGGCCTGGCTTTAAGCTCAACCATTTTTCCCCACAATATATTGTATATTTTAAATATATAGATATATATATACATATATATTTCGTGGAAAAGCAGCAGCACTTTGCTGAGCATAAAGCGAGTTAATGATTCGTTTTGGGGAAGACGACGCTAAGCGCTAACGAGCAATAATCAAATCAAAAATACTTTTTATTCACCATCTGCGCTGATGGCAAATTGCTCTTAAACTGATTTTCCCTTCATAGCAATTTTGATGTGCCGGGAAAAGTGCAAAAAAAAAAAAGATGTAGCGAAGAGAAGCTGCTTTTCTCCCCCTTTCCCGCCAGAAGCACACCTTTTAACCTGTTTGTTTGCGGCTTTTTGGACTGTTGTTGGCGCTTTTGCGTTTTCCATATCAATTATCGACTCGAATTTAGCCCACCTTTCGGACGACGACGACGACGTCGATGACGATGACTCGTCTTCCCAGCAACATTTCCCAGCCTTCCTAGATTTCCATTTTCCGCCAGGTTTTTCTTTCTCTCCTCTTTTTTCTGTGTGTGTGTGTTGGCGGCATTGCTTTAAGTTCAAGTGCAAGGGGCCAAAAACTGATCCCATTTCAGGCAGCAAGAAAAAAATTGAGAATTTTCATTTGACACTCGTTGAAGTTGGAGGAAAACAAAGTGCAACAGTTCGGAAAAGAAGCAGTAAAAGATATAGAAGATAAAGATATAGATGATAAAGAAAATATAGAAAATAAAGAAGATATATGTAGATGGTAAAGAAGATATAGATGATAAAGAAGATATACAAGATATAAAAGATATAGAACATATAGAACATATAGAACATATAGAACATATAGAACATATAGAACAATATAGAACATATAGAACATATAGAACATATAGAACATATAGAAACATATAGAACATATAGAACATATAGAAACATATAGAACATATAGAACATATAGAACATATAGAACATATAGAACATATAGAACATATAGAACATATAGAACATATAGAACATATAGAACATATAGAACATATAGAACATATAGAACATATAGAACATATAGAACATATAGAACATATAGAACATATAGAACATATAAACATATAGAACATATAGAACATATAGAACATATAGAACATATAGAACATATAGAACATATAGAACATATAGAACATATAGAACATATAGAACATATAGAACATATAGAACATATAGAACATATAGAACATATAGAACATATAGAACATATAGAACATATAGAACATATAGAACATATAGAACATATAGAACATATAGAACATATAGAACATATAGAACATATAGAACATATAGAACATATAGAACATATAGAACATATAGAACATATAGAACATATAGAACATATAGAACATATAGAACATATAAACATATAGAACATATAGAACATATAGAAATAAAAATATAGAACATATAGAAAAAATATAGAACATATAGAACATATAGAACATATAGAACATATAGAACATATAGAACATATAGAACATATAGAACATATAGAACATATAGAAAAAACATATAGAACATATAGAACATATAGAACATATAGAACATATAGAACATATAGAACATATAGAACATATAGAACATATAGAACATATAGAACATATAGAACATATAGAACATATAGAACATATAGAACATATAGAACATATAGAACATATAGAACATATAGAACATTAAGAAAATACCTAAACTCAGTTTTTCTAAAGCAAAAATATCCAGGAAAAGTAAAGTCTTAGAAATTTAAATATTTCCTTCACTGAAAATTCTGTAAAACTTAAAAAATAACCTCTAAAGCCTTGCAATATTCCCAAAATATACAAAAACCATCCTCCGATGGACAAGGCTTTTCACACTCATCACCTTTATCAAGAAAATCAAATGTGGGGGCGGGGGAAAAACTTGTTTTCCCACTTGCGGATGATTATAATCCGTTGTTTGTGCGGGAAGGAGCAGGGTGAGGATAAGGATGAGGAGGAGTCCCATCCCGTCAAACGGATTAGGATCACACACGTCTGCTCTGGCCACGTAATTGGAGTCCAACAAACATCCTTTGGCAGCCCCAAAATCCTTTATGTGTGCTGTCTGCATTGTTCTTTTTTTATTCTTGTGCTTCCTGCCTTAACCCCTCACTATTTTGAATGTTTAATGTCAATAAGCGGCAGGTGGAAATAAAAACAAACAAAACCAAGAGTAAAATCATCATATTTGCCTTCTTTGCCAAATTGACTTGAGGCGCCTTTTTCTCTGAGCTTTTCTTCGCCCCAAAATTTTCCCTTGTCTCTGGCTGGACTCCTTCTGAGCTCCTTCTGTCTGTCCGCAATGAAATTGTCAAATTGTTGCCAGCAAATTCCTCGCCTTCGTGTTGAAAATTGCCAAAAAAAAGTCAAGAGGGGGAAAAGGGGAAAAACTTTTGGGCGAAAAAGTTGCAGTTTCGCGGCAGTTTCGGTTACGGCCAACATTAACTGCCACATTTCACCTGCCGACTGCCGATGACAAATTGTTGACTTGCCACGGCCAATGGCCTCAAAAACAAATAATAAATAGGAGAAACAGCAAGCTTTCCTCAATTTTAATTGTTTTTTACACACACAACAAAACACTAACTATATAGATCCAAAGAAATAATTAAGGCTTTGAAATTAATGATGGTCTTGGTTTTATATCAAATTCGATGTTACTTTATATTATATTTCTTAAATGGAAAAAGTTGTTGTGTTCATTTCTGTATCTAGCTCATAATTTTATAGAGCATTTTAAAGAGTATTTTAATATTATAAAAGAAGTATACAAAATGTAACAAGTCTACCCTAATTCTTGATATTTAAATTCTCAAATATTTCCTTTAAAAGCTATGCACTTTTATTTATTATTGAATTTCATATACATTTTATTAATTTAATTCCAAACTTAAGTTACAAATTTACCTACATTTTTGTTGTATACGTTTTTGAAAAGTTTTTAAACAGGCTAGGTCTTTTGACTTATTTTTAAAATCTCTTGCTTTTCATACCTTTCCAGGGTATTATAATTTCAGTCAGAAGCTTGAAACTCAATGAAGGAATCATTTCCGACCTAATAAATCATATATATTCTTGATCAGCATTAAAAGCTGAATCGATTTAGCTATGTTTGGAGGAAAAAAATTTTAAAAAATTTTATCAATTTTTTTTAAGGGGTTTCTTCATGAAATTAAAAAAAAAAAAATCGAAAATTTTGAAAAGTTGTTTAAATAAAAATGTTGTATGCAGATTTGTTAACCTTAAAAAAACCAACTCTTAAAAGCTTTCCGATTGAAAATTAATACATTTTTGACCGAGTTATGACTAATTTTCACTGCAAGGGTATAAACATATCGGTTTCCCAAAGATAAACCATTGCAGGGTATTATTATTTCAGTCAGAAGCACGGAAAGTAGTTAAGGAGTCATTTCCGACCCTTTAAATCATATATATTATTGATCAGCATGAAAAGCCGAATCGATTTTGCTATGTTTGGAGGAAAAAAAATTTTACAAAATTTTTTCAATTTTTTTAAGGGGTTTCATCATAAAATTTGAAGGAAAAAAATCGAAAATTTTTTAAAGTTTTTAATTTAAAATAGAGTATGCAGATTTGTTACCCTAATAAAAACTTGCAAAAAACTGCTTGTCAAATTAAAATTAAAGCATTTTTGGCGGAGTTATGATCGATCGAAACTGCAAAGGTATTCAAATTTCGCTTTTCGGATATATACTTCTTTTCTAGTTTATTATTATATAGCTAAATGAATTATTTTTGGTATATCTTTAATCGTTTATACAATAAATAATAAATAACTACATCTTGTTATTTATTGCCTAATAGTATTTATTGTTTGGTTAGACATTAACAAAACCTTTTAAATCAAAAGTTGAGTGTTTTGTTTTGACAGTGTAAAAAGTATCCCCGTGAAATCTCGGCTAATTGTTTGCTCCCGAATTGGCTTTTACTTTAAGCTGCTCTGATTACAACACTCCCCCTTCCCCTGCTCTCTAATGTTCACTTAACTTTTCTTTACTTTTAATTAGCATCTGCGCTGCCTTCCACCCACCCACTCCAGCATCCTTTGTTATCTATATCCCTATATATATCCTGCTGGCTTCGCCTTGCTGCTTGTAATCAAATCCGCGTTGTGTCACTTTGTGTTGTGCGAAAGAATTATCCGAAAAATATTTGTAAAATTGCTCAAGTTGTTGCTGTTTGGCTCTTTGGCTGCTGCTGCTTCTGCTTTTGCTTTTGCTTTTGCTGTATGAAATATTAAGCGGCGGCAAAAAAGGGTTCAAAAGGGCCGAGTGGCATGCACAGGAAACTGTGGCTAACGAATGGACCTGTCACTGGGTGTGGAGTCTGCCTTGCTGTCTGTCACAACACAACAGAAAAAAACATACACACACACCTAACAAACTTTTGCTTTCAAGTTGACGGGTGGTTAGGGCGGAAGTCCTTGTTAAACTGCATCCGGTTGTCATCTAATTGCAGTCAGAAAAGCCAATCATCCTGGGCCTGTCTCGGCTCCTGCTCCTGCTCCTGCTCCTGTCAGGGTCTGGAATTTCACACTTTTAGCCTTTTGCTATTAATAGATTTCATATAGAATTTCAATTTAAATTTTATTCTAGCATAAAGTTTAATCCTGAATCCTGTTCTCTTTTTTATCCTTTGCAGAATGCCAACCAAACGAGTTCCGTTGCAACAATGGCCAGTGCATCGATTCCAGGAAGCGTTGCGACTATCAGGAGGACTGCGAGGATGGCGAGGATGAGAATCACGAGTGCCGTAAGTGCTAGAAGATAGAGCTACGTTAAGGCCGAGATTTATGATACCAAAAACAGAACCAGTTATAGTAGATAATACAAATGCTAAAACTATAGTCTAAAACTAGTTGCTTAAGCCGCTTTCGTAGTAGTATCTAAGACTAGGATAAGTCCTAGGAAACCACTAAACGCCTTCGGTTATCCCCCGCTCCAGCGACTAACCCAATGTCTCTCCTTTTTCTCTCTCTCTATATGTATAAATATCTCTCTAACCGCCATGCTAACCACCACATGACCACACTAACCCCCGGTTAACTAACCATTAGCCGCCGCCTGCAGCGACATGGAGTATCAGTGTCGCGAAGGCACTCGCTGCCTGAGCCTAAGTCAACAGTGCGACGGTCATGCCGATTGTGCTGATGGCGACGACGAGGAGCACTGCGACGGAAGTGAGTAACCGCCATCTTGGTAACATTTTCATTAGCCATTCATGACATCCGTCATTTGTTATTCAGTCATCCGCTTAGGGATATGGCAGGAGAAACTATAAATATAGGATCTTATAACCTCAACTATGAATATTAATCAGAACATGACCGAACAAGATTCTTCTAAAAACCAGTGTTGCCAGTGAATCAATTTATATATTTATTGAGTTTTCTATATATTCTTTTACAATCTTTTTTATCCTAAAACATTCCCAAAGGTTGACAACACTGCGTATTAATGTCTTTACTTTCTCTATATTTCTTTAAATTCAAATCTCTAAACATGCTGCTTACTGCCGGGTACAGTTGTGCCCAAGCTGCGCTATACCTGCCCCAAGGGCAAGTTTACCTGCCGGGATTTAAGCTGTATATCGATAGTCCATCGATGTGATGGGCGGGCAGATTGTCCGCATGATCGATCAGATGAGGAGGGCTGTCGTAGGTGTTCAAAAACGAGTACAATCGATAACTAGTCAAAACTCTCCTCTGTCTGTCTATCTGTCCGTTTATTTTGCTTTTCATTGGGAATGCAGCTTGTCTGTACGACAAATGGCAATGTGATGACGGCACCTGTATAGCCAAGGAACTGCTCTGCAATGGCAACATCGATTGTCCCGAGGACATATCCGATGAACGCTACTGCGAGGGTGAGTAAATCCTGCGAAGAGTTGCTCTTGGGGGGTCAAGGTAGAGGAGGTAAGTGCGCACCATTTCACCAATCACTTAATCACAGTCAAAGTCACCCAAATCACAAATATCTATATCACATAAAATCACCTCGCCCAATAACTAACAATCGCGTGCTATCGATTTACTATCGATATCGTCGTCGTCAGGTGGCTACGTTGAGGATGAGTGTCGGTTCGATGAGTTCCGTTGTGGGACCGGTGAGTGCATACCGATGCGTCAGCTGTGCGATAATATCTACGATTGCAACGATTACTCCGATGAGAGTAGCTGCGGTAAGAGTTTCGTGTTTGTGTGTGCGTCGATAACAAATCGATCAATTTCCTAAGTGTGTCCTGTTTGATGCAAGTCCCCTTCAGACTCTCTGTCCTTCTTTATTATGCTTTCGCCGATCTTCGTGGGTAACTAAAATCAATAAGTTTGGTGTTGGTATTCTCTCTCCCTCTCTCTTGTTCTCTGCCATTGTCTTATTTGTGCTTTCTTCGCTGATATCGCTTTTATATATATATATATATCGCCGTTCTGGCGATATCCTACTGTCCCAGTGTGTGTGTGTCAATCGATGATTGTTTGATTTTGATTTTAACTCGATACATTTTATTTTTCTTTTCCCTTCCCCTCAAAAATATATATAAAACAAAACCCCGAATCCGAACCCGAACCTGAACCCCCCTGGTTGTGGTTATCGAATGCTCAAAATTAATCGATTAACTGCACGTCAACCTGTTTCGGAAACAACAACAACAACAAACCCTGCATCGACGACCAACGGATACCAATGATACCGATTACGATCCAATTTTAACTTGAACTAAAAACTGCATGAATTTAATCACAAAATCCCCCTTAACCCAACGCCCATGGTCTGCATGCGGTTGTCCTGTATCACGTCCTGTCGTGTTATGTCTCGTGTCCACATCGATAACAAAACCTATCGGTCGATCGCTCGGGATTAGACGACGGTGATGAAGGTCCAACGGATGCTGTGGGCATTCCCTTGGGCGGCTATCGCCCGCCACGTCCTCATCCCAGCCGGCACAAGAGCGATGGCCTGGACGCGGAGGACATGTACGAATACCAGGTGGTCTATCAGCCAAGCAATGTCTACGAGAAGGCCAATTCCCACAATCCCTGTGCGGAAAATCAATTCCGCTGCACCACCACCAATGTGTGCATACCGCTTCACCTGCGCTGCGATGGCTCCTATCACTGCAACGACATGAGCGATGAGCGGGGATGCGATCAATACCGTCGTCCAGCGGTCTCCACACGGCGTCCACCGGTCACGGTCACCACCTGGTCACCATGGCATGCACCTGGCCAGTTGGAGCAGAGAACCAGCACCACCAGGACCACATCAGCCCCAAGAACCACAACGACCACCGATGCACCGCCTCGGCGAGAGACCCCACCGGCATGGCCGCCAACGACCACTAACCCAATAACAACAGTCGGCGTAGCGAGTAGGTGTCTCCAATAATCCGGAGAATAGTGTAGCATATACATACATATATCCGGCATAGGGGTAAAGCGTAACCAAGCCATTATAGAAAACCCTTCAGGTGTTTACTTTGCAACAAAAAAGTGTCTGGTGAAGGGGATTCTTATTTTAGATTTTATCCAAAAATGTAATAACGAATATCTCTATACAATCGATAAACTTGCTTGAAATATCGACAGTTCATCGATAAATTGTAGAATTTCAAGGGCTTTCATTAATTTTATTGAATTCAATCATTTGCTTTACATGTTTTAAATCGTTTATTAAAGTTAAAAGCAAGTAAAGTGAGTTAGTGTATACAAATTTATTGAATTAATTAAATTTGTAATATCAAAATGTATTTTTTTGATCAATAACGTTTAAATTTCCTTACAAAATGAAACTATCATGCCCTAAAAAGAGCTTTGTAACCGGAAATGGGCACAAAGACTGTAATTGGCCCTTTCCTGTATTCATTTTTTGTTTCCATTTGTATTATTTTTTTGTGGATTCCCCCTAAACCATTGTTAATTTTGTTGCAAAGAGTAAAAACACAACTTTGGGCATGAAATGGATGGCACAGGTACTGGTTAATTGTTAGCATTACCTTTAACTCTAAGTTTTGACTAGTTGATGGGTCAAGAAGTGGATGAGGAAGCGGAAGTAAAAGTGCATGCTATGTTTTTGGAACATAGAAACCTACTTTAGTCATAACCACACACAAACACAAACACAAACACACACACACACACACACCTCGGCTAGCTAGTTAAGCCTTTAATTTAAATACTTTTTTAATTGATTTGCCTCACTTGTACATATATATCCCACTCTGCTCTCTCTCTCTCTATTTCCGTTCTCCTTATGGCTTGTTTTTACTATCATTGCGATTATCCATTCGTACCGCTGTGTCACCCATCATCATTCCACCAAAAAACCAAAACATACAACAAAAAAATACAATACCGTAGGCAACCCATCAATGTCCCCCTCATCGGCGGCGGGGATTGGGGGCAACTGCCTCGAAAACATTGAATTCGCGTGCCACAATCGCGATTGCATTTCGATTGAGAGCGTCTGCGATGGCATCCCCGACTGCGTCGACGCGGAGGACGAGGATTATTCGCTCTGCAACTGCAGCGGTGACAAGGTGAGTCCTGGAACAGGACACCACCCCCCCCCCAATCCAATCCCCAACACAACACACACACATATTGCTCATCCCAATTAAGTAGAGAACTTTGGAGCTTTTTGACAATATTTAATAATCATTATTTTTATTAATATTAAATTTTATTTTTTGTTTTTTAACATTAATTATTATTAATTTAATGTCAATCTTGTTAAATTCTATTTAAAGAATTTAATTTAACTTATTTTGTTTTGATGAATTGACAAATTTAAATATTTTTTTGCTAAACATAATCCTTGATTAAACATATTTTCTTTCTTGGAAAATTCAACAAAAGTTTACTTAGTTTTCTTTAGAAATCATATTTAACTATGATTACTATAATCTATAATTAATACAATTCCATTAGTCCTATATTCATAAAATTTTCCACAAAATTCTAGATTAATATATATTAAATTTGATGAATATCTATTGAAAACTGGAAAAGTTATAATTTATTTTCTTATAATTTTCCGATCGTTCTATGGCAGCTATATATATGTATGTATATATATAATCGTCCGATTCGGCATGCTCCGATTTATAAACTTGTAAAAATATATAGAAAACTAACTGCTTAGTTTCGATCAAATAACTTGCTCTTAAATGTGTACCAAACCAAATCTCGCACATCTGTGCATATGATTCCCAACTTGTTCTAACATCCCCGGAACGAAGTGACTGCTGCCGGCCACGTCTCAGAAAGTGTTGTGTTACAAAAGTTGCAAGTCATTGTTTATTAGTGATTATAGATAATTAATGTTCATAGATACCTACTGGACTAAGTTACTTACTGTCAAGAGTTACTTAATGTTCATAAATTCTTTCTTTTTATAGTTACTTACTGATTAATGTTAATTACGGGTAATAGGTACTGTTCAGTGTTACTTACGGTTCATAGGTACTTCCTTGTCAAGGTTAATTAGTGATCATAGCTACTTACTGATCATAGTTAATTACTGATCATAGTTACTTACTGTTCATTGGTTCTTATTGATCATAGTTAATTACTGATCTTAGTTACTTAATATTCATAGTTACTTACTGATCATAGTTAATTACTGATCATAGTTCTATAAATCGTCCGATTGTTCTTATAATCTGTAATCTATAAATAATCTGATTATTATAAATTTTTTGGCTAATTTTGAGCTATATCAATATATATTACCTTCCAGAAGTTTCAATGAGCTCTTCGTTAGATACATAAACACACTGCTACACACACCTAAATACTCCCACACACCTCTAGACACCATACACACACACCTACGCTCTCACCTGTACAAAAACAAACACACATTCTCGTGCTTTCTTCAGTACAAATGCCAACGCGGCGGCGGCTGCATTCCGAAAGTCCAGGTTTGCGATGGCAAACCGCAGTGTCGTGACCGAAGCGATGAGAGCGCCTGCCGTAAGTACCATCTCTAGCATACTCGCTTTATATTCTTCTACCATTACTACCATTAAGATCACTCGCTATTTTAAGCTATCTTTCACTCGCACACTCTCTCTCTCACACTCTCTTTCACTTTCTAACGAGTTCTTTTTGGTTAAATTCAACAATTAAATAAAAACCTTAGGTTTAGTTTTGATTGGTTAAACTGCATGATCTCAGGTTAAATTTATCAACTAAACTTTAACCGTAGGTTAAGTTGGCCTCCGCTAATTGGACAATCCCTGAAAAATAACCATATATGATATAAAATTTTTGGTTAAATTCACCGATTAAGCTTTAACCGTAGGTTAAGATTGAGCTGCCTTCGCTAATTGGACAAAATGCTAACTGCTAGTGCCACAAAACCCCACAATTCCTCCATTTACACCACTTTCTAAGAGCTACAAACTGCTCGTATCGACTTTTGTTGCTAACTGTACTCTCTGTTTTGTTCTCTCTTCGCCCCAACGGGGTTAACCCGAAAACCCGTGTAAAAAAAAACACACTATCCCGTACTCTGATACTCTGAAACCCGACTCTCCGACTCTGTACTTTCCCGCTCCGATCCCTGATCCTGCAGACCTCCATGGGCGCTTCAATAGAACGCGCCTGGGGGTCGAGTGCCTGAGCCATCAGTACCAATGCGGCGACGGAAGCTGCATTTCCGGATACAAACGCTGCAATGGCATCACCGACTGCGACGATGGCGCCGACGAGAACAACTGCCCGTTTACCTACGACGATAACTACGGTAGCCCTCCTCCATCTGATCCGAGTTGCCCATCTGTGTCTAGATCTGTGCCTCGGGAGCTGTGCCCAAGACTGTACTTGAACCGAAGAAAAAGTCTAGAGAAGGCTCCCATTTAATGGCAACTTTGAGGGGTTTTCTGTGATACTAAAATCTCTTATAGATAATATTACTTGCTGAAAATCCCTTAGAATTTCCTTTAAATTAAAGCTTTTCCTTTTGGCATTTTCTTTGAGGCATTCCTAATACATTTTTTGAGCTCAGCTGCCGCCTCTATATATGCCTATCGATCTGTCTCAGGGTCCTTGTCCCTGCTATAAACATTACATTTTTCTTTTTATTTTTCCTCCAACTTTTCACACACACACACACACACACATAAACCCTCACAGACACCGACCCGGAAAACAATCCGCTGAATGAATGTGAAATCCTTGAGTTTGAATGTGACTTTGGTCAATGCCTGCCGCTTGACAAGAAATGCGATGGCAACATGGACTGTGACGATGAGACGGATGAGCTCGATTGTCAGTCCTATACAGGTAAAAGAGATGCCCATCCTCCAAACCTAACCCCCAAACCCCCTCTAAGAGGCTCCAGGTGCTACTTACCACAACTACTACTACTAGCAATAACCACCACCCACATCCACACTCAGTCAAAACCCAAAACCTCATCTCGAGTGATCACCATCCCATACCCATTCACCGCATCATTCGCAGAGCATTGTCTAGAGAACGAGTTCGAGTGCGATGACTACTGTCTGCCCCGCGATCAGCTGTGCAACGGCATTGCCAACTGCAACGATGGCAGGGACGAGCGCAACTGTACCTTTTGCCGGGACGATGCCTATCTGTAAGCCCATTGCCCAAAAGTCATATATCCATCAAAATCATATAACTTCTACCTGCCGTATTTAAACTATCGATTATACTCAATGAAAAGAAATATTTAATTCTTAAATCAGTGTCTTGCCTGGACACCCTTGCTTTAAATCATTATTAATTTATGATCCCTTAAGTTCCATCTCTAGAACTCCATTGCTAAAATGATTCAATTAAAATATTAAATAACCAGTTTAATTTGTTAAAATATGAATTTCAAGTAATTCAAAAAACTATTGCAGCAACCTATCAGAACTCTATTGGTATGATCGATATTATAATCTATAGCTCAAACCTATTCCAATCTATCGCCTATCCCATCCCTATCGTATCATAATCATGTTTCTCCCGTTCCATGTCATGGCTCCTACTCCAACAACAACAACATACGACAATACCACATCGACACTCAAAAACCACACCAACATTATCTCCATCATCATCATGATCATCATCATTATCGTCATCGTAACCGATATTCATCGCTATAACGATAGTTGCAACACTGGCGAATGCATTGCCGACACGCAGCGTTGCAACGGTAAAGCCGACTGCGCCGATGGCAGCGACGAACGTCACTGCGGTAAGAAGCTCCTAAAACCGATCCTGATCCTGATATAGATCCTGATACAGATCCTGATCCAATAAGTCCCATCCCAGCACCATCCTAGACTGTACTTAGTAGTTGGTTTGCTTCGCTTTTGGATCGCTTTCTTTGGTTCTTTGATTTTAGTTAGGAAATACGAATTTAAGTGGGAAATGTATCATATACCCTTTGTTTCACCGAGTGAATATTTTATTTTTATAATTTCAAGAAAGGAAATTATGTCTGCCGAATCAGCTGGCCTGCAATGGCACTTGCGTTCATCGGAGACTCAAGTGCGATGGCAAAATCGATTGCCTTGATGGTTACGACGAGAAATATTGCAGTGGTAACAAGTCCAATCAGAAATTTTAAATCCCTTCAAATTATTTCAAGAACTATAACTGTGAATTTGTTATCCTTTCAAACTATATGGAACTCCTGAGTTCGTTATACTTACTATTTGAGACTCTGAAAGCACTGCTGTTCTTCCACAATTCTATGAGACATTTCCCTTCTGAACTTCCTCTCAAGAATCCTCATTTTTAAGCCAGAAACTTGAAAACAGAAAGTCCTAGAAGCTGATTTCATCTATCCACTATTCAACTGAAACCTAATTCTCCCTATGCATTGCTCTTTCTATATCTTTAATCTATTTTGCTGCCTCTAACATTTGCCTTTTTCGTTTAATTAACGATTTATGTCTTGTCTTGTTTCATCTCTATGTTAAACCCCATATACAACCAACATCACCGCCAAACAACCAACATCCTTGCCACATGCCACATGCCAAAAACAAAAAAACACACACATACAACACCAACAACCCACTCAGCCACAGGGACCCGACACTACGACACAACAACCACAATGAATGTCCTTGTTCCGCAACCAGTTCCCATACCAAGACCCAGGCCCTGTCACCTCAATCAATGGCGTTGCTCGAGTCTCGAATGTATTGATGTTGAATTGCGCTGCAATGGCATCGATGATTGCGCCGACGGATCCGATGAGGGTCTAACCTGCTTCGATGGTAATCGCGTTAGATTTCATCTTCTTTTTAGGATCTACAAATATAAACAATTTGATCTTATTTTGTGAGAGGGGGATCTTAGAAAAAAATCAGATCGAATTGTTATAATTTCATATACATTTATATAACACATTTACGATACAATGCACAGTAGCTTATAAGTCCCCAAATCCAATTTTGGAAGCAGGTTTGTATGAAAAGGCTATTGCTAGTGCTTAAGCTGCGTTCAAGAGACCTCTCTCTCGACATAATCCATAATCATCCCGCTTTCTTATCTCTATTTCTTGCTGCAAAACCACAACAAAACACAACGCATCCAAAACATTCAACATATACACATCGCATGCCGACCTATATATATATCATATATAGCCACCAATCGACTCAAACCCAGTGACTGTGCCCCGGATCAGTTCTTCTGTGATGAGTCGTGCTACAACCGCTCGGTGCGATGCAATGGCCGAGCGGAGTGCGCCGATGGCTCCGATGAGGTGTCATGTCCACCAATTAACTCGTTGCCGTGTCCGCAGCATCAGTGCCGCTCCAGTGGCAAATGCTACTCGGAGAGTGAGCGTTGCGATCGCCGGCGGCACTGCGAGGATGGCTCCGATGAGGTCAACTGTAAGTCTCCGTCTCCAGCATCTCTCCCATCTCGATCCTTTCTCCTCTCTCTTCCATCTCGATATCGTCTCATCAGTGACAATGGTCGGATTTCCGACCTTTAAGTGTCTGCTTATATACAATTTATATATAGATAAACATTTTTTTGAGCACCTTTTCTAAGTGTCTGTATCCGTGAGCACTAAGCTTCTTAAGCACCCACAGAGTCAAAGCAAAGACAATGTAAGGATTAAAATGCATAACGCGAAAGGAATTTTCAACTATTTATTAAAGTCCTAATATCTAGTTTACGTTCGCCATATTCTATATATTGTCTTTGGTCAGTGAATATGAATATCGTAAAGCACTTTTGAATATCGTTTTTTTTATATACGAAACCATAAATTACGGAAAGGTAAAGATACACAATCTGATCTCTGTTTCATTTTGCACAATATACATAATGAATATGAATATCGTAAAGCACTTTTGAATATCGTTTTTTTTATACATGAAACCATAAATTACAGTATAACTTTGTACAAATCAAATGGAAAGGTAAAGACACACAATCTGATCACTGTTACATTTTGCACATATATCTATCCATATGTCGTACTGCATTTGCATATATCGTATGAATATCGTATGTGCTTTTTCATTTGCTAATCTCTCTCTCTTTCTCTATCTCTCTCTCGTTCTCTCCCACTATCCACTCCGCTTTGAATTGAATTTTGTGAATATATATTCGTTGCATTTCACTTGAGTTTTCTGCACCATAAAAAACACCACATACTCCCCCTGAATATCGCAAATCGTAATTCACTCTTAGGCACTAACATCCTGTGCAAGGATCACGAATTCCTCTGCTTCGATCGACAGTTTTGCATAAACGAAACGCAGCACTGCGATGGCTTCTACGACTGCCGGGACTTTTCCGACGAGCAAAATTGCATTGGTTAATGATCTAATGATCCGAATTTTACTTAAAACCCTAGATCTCTTTTGATTTTTGATCAATGTACTACCTCAATTGGTATTTATAGTTTATGTATAATTATCCTAAGTTTGCTTTAAGTCGACGACCCGCATGCCTCGAACATTTTATGCACTGTTTTTCTTATATATATTCTAGATATATATTGTCTCTCTTTCTCTATATATATATGGATATTCCAAATCAAAATTGTTTTTAGATTTTTTCAGCAAAACCTTTACAGTTAACTCTCAGTTCTTGTACTGATCTAAGACTTTTGCTTTTCCCCATATATAGGTTGTGCCGACAATCAGTTCCGCTGCCACAATGGTGACTGTGTCCAGGGATCTGCTCGCTGCGATGGCTACCCCGAGTGCTCCGATGGCTCTGATGAGATCAATTGTGCCGGCTCTTTGGAGTGCCAACCCAATCAGTTCCGTTGCGATAGTGGTCAGTGTGTTAACTCGGCGGTGCGATGCAATGGCATCTCGGATTGTCGCGATAGCTCCGATGAACGTAACTGCGGTAAGTCCTTTAAACCTTTAGTATCTTTACACTCTCTTGCCATCACCATTTGCCGGGGTTAAGCAAACAAACAAAGAAAATCAATGAAATTGAATAATATAAGGTCATCATCCTGCCGAGGGCAATACGGCCAGGCCAAGCACGACTTCTAGTAGCACCACTAGCACCACCACCGCCACCACCACCACGGCAGTCACCCCGCTGAGAATCCTCTGCCCACCGACATCCTTCAGGTGTGACAATGGACCCTGCATCTCTCTGGCCATGCGCTGTAATGGAAGGATTGATTGTCCCTATGACAGCAGCGATGAGGTGGATTGTGGTCCCATTAGCAACGAGATTGATCGTAAGTGAGAAGAGAGAAAGGCACCTGAGAACCCGAGAACTTGAGATCCTCAACCGAAGCACCAAAGGAGAAGCTCCCCAAATAACTCTCTCTCTCTTCCCCCTCAAAAATGTAGCTACTAACTAAGAACCAGGGCTAAGGCTACCTCCCACACAAAGAGTTGTATTTAGAAATCACACTCATAACACTAGACATAAGTTCAATCTATACTAGTTAACTAAAAGTTACTAATGGTAATGGTTATATCTTCCACACAGCCTCCGAACACTCTCCCGGATCCCGTGGATCAAATCAGTTGAATCTCAAAACCTATCCCGATAGCCAGATCATCAAGGAGAGTAAGTATCCTCTATATCTCACAGTCTCTTTGTTTTGTCTCCCAATCTGAAAATATTACGCAAAAATAATGACATGACACCGTTATGTTCGATAAACCCCTAATTGCCGTTCTTTGTTCTCGTTAAATGCTTAACAAACCAATTTTTTTCAAAACCAAATATAAACTAAATAAATAAATAAAAAAACCGCAGGATATATTAGGGAGGGTAAGTTGGCCTAACTACAAGTCACAGTCACCCCCACCGCACACAATTATGCATTATCGTAGTTCAGAGAGAATACTCGACCAGCACCTGGTTGTCCCTTAGCACCCACCAAGCACCATGAAAATCTGCACGATCCATTGGCTCGGAGTGGAGTTGTATATTTTGTCGAAATTCTTGAATATCCCCCCACAAGTCCCCTGTTAGGCTTTAGATTCAAGCTAAAAGCTAAATTACTTAGGAATGACGGCTTAATATCGATATATCTTAACTATATAGATATTTTAATGTAGCAATAAATCGATATTCTGTTTGATATATAAATATTTTCATACCCTTGCTGAAGGGTATTATAATTTCAGTAAAAGGCTTAAAACTAAGTAGAGGAGTCATTTCCGACCCCTTTAATCATATATATTCTTAATCAGCATCAACAAAATTATAAAGAAGAATAACTACTAAGTTTTATTCAAATAGTTGGCACTTAAATGTGTACCAAAACACATCTCGCACATCTGTGCATATAATTCTCAACTTGTTCTAACATCCCCGGAACGAACTGATTGCTGCCGGCCACGTCTCAGAAAGTGTTGTGTTACAAAAGTTGCAAGTCATTGTTTATTAGTGTTCAAAGTTAATTACCGATTAGAGATACTTACTGTTCAGAGTTAATTACTGATCATATTTACTTACTGTTCAGAGTTCTATAAATCGTCGGATTGTTCCTATATCAGCTATATATATGTATATATATAGTCGTCCGATTCGGCATGCTCCGATTTATAAACTTGTAAAAATATATAGAAGAATAACTACATAGTTTCATTCAAATAGCTTGCTCTTAAATGTGTACCAAAACACATCTCGCACATATGTGCATATAATTCCCAACTAGTTCTAACATCTCCAGAACGAAGTGACTGCTACCGGCGACGTCTCAGAAAGTGTTGTGTTACAAAAGTTGCAAGTCATTGTTTATAAGTGTTGAAAGTTAATTACTGTTCATAGATACTTACTGGTCATAGTTACTTACAGGTCATACTTACTTACTGGTCGTTACTTACTGATCATAGTTACTTACTGGTCTAAGTTACTTTCTCTTAAGAGTTATTTAATGTTCATACATATTTACTGTTCAGGGTAATTTAATGTTCATAGATACTTACTAATTAAAGTTACTTACTGATTATTGTTAAAAGTTCAAAGAGTGTTCAAAGAGACTTACTGGCCATAGATACTTACTGTTCAGAGTTAATTACTGATCATATTTACTTACTGTTCAGAGTTCTATAAATCGTCGGATTGTTCCTATATCAGCTATATATATGTATACATATAGTCGTCCGATTCGGCATGCTCCGATTTATAAACATGTAAAATTATATAGAAGAATAACGACCTAGTTTTATTCAAATAGCTGGCACTTAAATGTGTATCAAACCCAATCTCGCACATCTGTGCATATGATTCCCAACTTGTTCTAACATCCCCGGAACGAAGTGACTGCTGCCGGCCAAGTCTCAGAAAGTGTGGTGTTACAAAAGTTGCAAGTCATTGTTTAGTAGTGTTCAAAGTTAATTACTGATTATATATACTTAATGTTCAAAGATACTTACTGGTCATAGATACTTACTGTTCATACTTACTTACTGATCGTTATTTACTGATCATAGTTACTTACTGGTCTAAGTTACTTTCTCTTAAGAGTTATTTAATGTTCATACATATTTACTGTTCAGGGTAATTTAATGTTCATAGATACTTACTGATCAAAGTTACTTACTGATTATTGTTAAAAGTTCAAAGAGTGTTCAAAGAGACTTACTGGCCATAGATACTTACTGTTCAGAGTTAATTACTGATCGTATTTACTTACTGTTCAGAGTTCTATAAATCGTCGGATTGTTCCTATATCAGCTATATATATGTATACATATAGTCGTCCGATTCGGCATGCTCCGATTTATAAACATGTAAAATTATATAGAAGAATAACGACTTAGTTTTATTCAAATAGCTGGCACTTAAATGTGTACCAAAACACATCTCGCACATCTGTGCATATAATTCTCAACTTGTTCTAACATCCCCGGAACGAAGTGATTGCTGCCGGCCACGTCTCAGAAAGTGTTGTGTTACAAAAGTTGCAAGTCATTGTTTATTAGTGTTCAAAGTTAATTACTGATCATAGATACTTAGTGTTCATAGATACTTACTGGTCATAGTTACTTACAGGTCATACTTACTTACTGATCGTTATTTACTGATCATAGTTACTTACTGGACTAAGTTACTTACTGTTTATTGATACTTACTGATCATAGTTACTTATTGGTCATAGACACTTATTGCTCATAGTTAATTACTTATCATAGTTATTTACTGATCATTGTTACTTACTGATCATAGTTTGACTTGGCTGTTGCTGCTGATCAAGAATATATATACGATATTTTCTTTAAAATATTTTAAACTGAGCCTGAACTATACAACTCTATAAACAGGTTCTTCCAAATGAAAGTCTTAGATAAGTTAAAAATAATATAAATATTTTCACGTCAACGATATTTTTTACATATCAAACTATTTTCGATATATTTTTGTAACTGCTTTCGATACACATCCCTAAATGTATACAAGTTGTATTTAAGTGTTTTATATGAATATTATTATATATACATATATATTAGCCTTGTATCCCCCCTTAGAGTCTTGTTCCCGCAAAACCTTATCCTTTTATCCTACCTTATATCTTAGCTCGTTTTCCTTATTATACCCCAAAAATTTGGCTCTTTTACTTACTCCAATTTGTGTGGTTCACCTGCCAGGTCGCGAGGTGATCTTCCGTTGCCGTGACGAAGGTCCTGCCCGCGCCAAGGTCAAGTGGTCACGTCCCGGTGGACGTCCCCTTCCGCCCGGTTTCACAGATCGCAATGGACGCCTGGAGATACCCAATATTCGAGTGAGTAGATCGTATAGAGTATATTTAATATATCTTTTGTACTAACTATATCTCTTAATCCTGTTCTAAATAGGTTGAGGATGCCGGCACCTATGTATGCGAAGCTGTGGGCTATGCCAGCTACATTCCCGGACAGCAGGTCACCGTCAATCTCAATGTCGAACGCTGTGAGTATGATTCCCTAGTTCTAGATAGCATTCTGGATACATAGGTTGCTTAGAATGTAAAATATATATAAGATCCAAAAGATATATCCAAGATATCTGTATTAAATGCAAGCAGCCTGGGGAGAGCACAAGTTTGAGGAGCTGCGCTCTAATCGCATACGTTATGGCACTGTGCCCCACATTGATCTGGAGTTTTTTGGCCTAGGTAGGAGGTTTCTCTACAAAACCTGTGACTGAAGGGGATTACTATCCTGTTTCGTCCAGGTTAAGTTGTGTTTAGAATTAACTAATAACTTTACTTTATTACCCACCAAATGCCGCTTATGGCTGTGGAATGGTAAGCTATTTGATTTGCTTCTTGTTTAGTTTTATTTATTGCTACCTGAATTTATTATTAATTAATCTATCTATCTTCTATAGACAACGAACTGGCTTCCCGTCCATCATCAGCCTGTACCGAATACCAGGCCACCTGTATGAACAACGAATGCATTGACAAATCTGCCATTTGTGATGGCATTCCCCATTGCTCGGATGGTTCCGATGAGCAAAGCTGCAGCCAGGGTAGAAAGTGTCAACCCAATCAGTTCATGTGCTCCAATTCCAAGTGCATTGATCGCACCTGGCGCTGTGATGGTGAGAATGATTGCGGTGACAATTCCGATGAGGCCACCTGTGACCCAGAGCCAAGCGGTTCTCCCTGCCGATACAGTGAATTCCAGTGCCGCAGTGGTCACTGTATTCCCAAGAGCTTCCAGTGTGACGATGTCAGTGATTGCAGGGATGGCAGCGATGAAGTGGGTTGCAGTAAGTAGAAATCTTCCACTAGAATTTCCTTCATCCATAATAACTATTAAACCACTTTATTTATACAGTTGCCCCGCTGGCTATTCGACCACCGCCGCCGGTGAAGAACCTCCTGGAGGGTGAATCCCTTGACCTGACCTGCGTAGCCACTGGCACTCCCACGCCCACAATTGTGTGGCGTCTCAACTGGGGTCATGTTCCGGAGAAATGTGAATCTAAGAGCTACGGCGGCACTGGCACTCTCCACTGTCCGGACATGAGGCGTGTCGATAGCGGTGCCTATTCCTGCGAGATCATCAACACCAGAGGCACCACCTTTGTCACTCCCGATACCATTGTGACGGTGACACAGCAGAGAACCGATGTCTGCGAGGCTGGATTCTTCAATATGCTGGCCAGGAAGGCGGACGAGTGTGTCAAGTGCTTCTGCTTCGGCGTGGCCAGCTCTTGTGACAGTGCCAATCTCTTCACCTATGCCATCCAACCGCCAATCCTATCGCATCGCGTGGTCAGCGTGGAGCTGAGTCCCCATCGCCAGATCGTGATCAATGAGGCCGCGCCGGGACAGGATCTGTTGACCCTGCATCATGGCGTCCAGTTCCGGGCATCGAATGTGCACTTTGGCGGTCGGGAGACACCCTACCTGGCCCTGCCCACGGAATATATGGGAAATCAACTGAAATCCTATGGCGGTAATTTGCGCTACGAGGTGAGCTACATGGGCAATGGACGACCCATCAATGGACCAGATGTGATCATCACAGGCAATCGCTTCACCCTCACCCATCGGGCACGCACCCAGCCGGGACAGAACAATAAGGTGAGCATTCCTTTCCTGCCGGGTGACTGGCAGAAACCCGATGGCCGTAGGGCTACGCGTGAGGAGATTATGATGATTCTGGCCAATGTGGATAACATCCTCATCCGGCTGGGCTATCTGGATAGTACTGCACGCGAGGTGGATTTGATTAACATTGCCCTGGACTCGGCCGGATCCGCAGACAAGGGTCTGGGCAGTGCCTCACTCGTGGAGATGTGCTCCTGCCCACCGGGATATGTGGGCGACAGCTGCGAGGCCTGTGCCCCCGGCTATGTCCGCCAGCCTGGAGGCCCCTGGCTGGGACACTGTGTGCCCTTCACCCCCGAACCGTGCCCGGCTGGAACCTATGGCGACCCGCGACGTGGTGTGCCCTGCAAGGAATGCCCCTGCCCGCAGAGTGGCAGCAATAACTTTGCCAGCGGCTGTCAATTGAATCCCGATGGTGATGTGATCTGCTCCTGCCACGAGGGCTACACGGGCAGACGCTGCGAGAGCTGTGCCGCTGGCTATCAGGGTGATCCCCTTGTGCCTGGCGGTGGATGCCGCAGGATTCCCGATTCCACATGCAACGTCGATGGCACTTTGAGCATCAATGCCGACGGTAGCTGCCACTGCAAGGACATGGTAATTGGTGACAAGTGCGACAGCTGTGCGGCGCAGAGTTTCCATTTGAACTCCTTCACCTATACCGGTTGCATGGAGTGCTTCTGCAGTGGTCTCCAGGTGGATTGCAGCAGCAGTTCCTGGTATCGCGACCAAGTGTCCAGCACCTTTGGCTCGTTCCACAACCGAGTGAACCATGGTTTCGAGCTGGTCAACGACTACACTCGACCCAATCCCGAGGCTTTGCCTGTGGCCTTCTCGGAGGCGCGCAGCGAGCTGAGCTTCAGCGGATCGGCTGACAATGGAGGTGACACTCTGTATTGGAGCCTGCCAGCAGTGTTCCTGGGCAACAAACTCACCGCCTATGGTGGCAAGCTGAGCTATACCCTGAGCTACAGTCCCCTGCCCAGTGGCATTATGTCCCGGAACAGTGCCCCCGATGTGGTCATCAAGAGTGGCGAGAACCTGATGCTCATCCATTACCGCAAATCCCAAGTGAGTCCCAGTGCGGCCAATACCTATGCGGTGGAGATCAAGGAGAGCGCCTGGCAGCGCAGCGATGGCCAGTTTGCCAATCGGGAGCATGTCCTGATGGCTTTAAGCGACATCAAGGCCATCTATATTAAGGCCACATACACGACCAGCACCAAGGAGGGATCACTGCGTCAGGTGACCCTGGACACGGCCACCACCACCAATGTGGGCACACAGCGTGCCTACGAAGTGGAGCAGTGTCGCTGCCCACCGGGTTATCTTGGACTCTCTTGCGAGACCTGCGCCCCTGGCTACAAGCGTGATCAGGACTCTGGCCTCTATTTGGGTCTTTGTGTGCCCTGTGAATGCAATGGACACTCCACCCAGTGTCATGGCGAGACGGGAGAGTGTGAGGTGAGTTGGAATCAAACGTAATTACAATTGAATTCTTGTTAATTTTATTGTTTTCGTTACTTTAGAACTGTGCTGACAACACCGAGGGCCCCAATTGTGATCGCTGCTCCTCTGGCTATGTGGGTGATGCCACGCGTGGCACTCCCTATGACTGCGAACCGGACAATGGCTATCCACCGCCACGTCCGCCAGCAGGTCCGGGCAACCAGACCCTTGGCGAGTGCGATAGATGGTGCCATTCGGATGGCACCCAGGCCTGCCGCAATAGCTACTGCCAGTGCAAACCGAATGTGATTGGTGATCAGTGCGATCAGTGTCGTCCCGGTACTTATGGTTTATCTGGACGCAATCCCGATGGCTGCAAGGAATGCTACTGCTCTGGCCTGGCCACACAGTGCAGCTCTGCTGAGTTGTATCGCCAACTGATACCGGTGGACTTTATCCAAACGCCGCCGTTGCTGACGAACGAAAATGGTGACATCGAGGGTGATGTTTCGCAGGATTTGAGGCACGACCTGGCCACCAATATGTACACTTACTCGCATTTGACTTACCTGCCCAAGTACTGGAGCCTGCGAGGCAGTTTGCTGGGCAACCAGCTGCTTGCCTACGGTGGTCTCTTGCAATACCGCCTGGTGGTGGAGTCGTATGGCAACTACCAGCCCGGCTACGATGTGATCCTCAGCGGCAATGGTCTGAAGCTGATCTGGTCACGAAACGATGGAGATTCCGAGGCCGAGAATTATAGTGTTCGTCTGCATGAGGATGAGAACTGGCAGCGCAAGGATCGTGACTCTGCCCGTCCCGCCACACGTTCCGACTTCATGTCTGTCCTGTCCAATCTGGAGGCCATCCTGATCCGAGCCACACCCAAGGTGCCCACGGAGCGTACTTCGATTCGTGATATTATCCTGGAGACTGCAGTGTCCGTCGCTATGCCCGGTGCCACGCATGCCGCCGATATCGAGGTGTGCCAATGTCCGCCCGGCTATACGGGTAACTCCTGTGAGGTCTGTGCCCCGTTGCATTATCGCGATGCGTCCGGAGTGTGCCGTCAGTGTCCTTGTGAGTCTGCGAACAGCGAATCCTGCGGCCTGGGCGCCGGTGGATATGTACAGTGCAAGTGCAAGCCACGCTGGAAGGGTGACCTCTGTCGGGAGATTGGTAAGTGAAGAAGTCATTATTCATAATTACTACATTATCCACACATCCAAACACCGCTCTACCCCAGCCCCCATCTATCCCCTATGCTCACACAGTGGCCTCCTCCTGCATACTCTCACCAGCTACAAGGCATACTCTCTCTTCGGCTAGCGTTGCGGGGTATACTGTAGTCGTGTTGATGTATGTAACAGACGGAGGGAAGCCTCTCCTATATCATATAGTCTTTATATATACATATATGCGCTCTCATGCCCGCTCAGAGTTTGCCAAGTACCCTTAAGGTTAATTAACTAGGGATCTGTCAAAGCTTTAACCGAACCCTTTGGTATACTTAATTTTATCCAGCCTACGAGCTTTCATACATAACTTCAAATCCTTTGGTGTTAAAGAAGTCGAAAAAATAGTCAGGATCTAAAAGTATTACCACCGAACCCTTTGGTATATCGAACTTAAATAGCCTAAGGAGTTATTTTAAAGTGTTTTTAGTAAAATATAAAAGTCCCATAACTCGGGAACTATAGTAGCTACCACCGAACCCTTTGGTATGCCTAGCTTTCTTTACCTTAAGAGTAATTATAAAAAGTTTCAAGTCTCAAAGTCAAAAAAATAAAAAGATATACTAGTAATTGGGCTTACTTTGAGCAATTCTGAGCCCTGGGCATCACATGATCGGTATCCATCGATCATCCAGCTCTTACCTCTTTTATTTACTCTCTCCTTTCTCTCGGACTTTGTTTTTGTCATTACTCCTACTTCGCCGTCTACCCCTACCTACTTTCCCCAATCCAACCTCATCATCGACTCTGAAAAACAAAACCAATTGAAATTCGATATTGAAATTATTATGAAAAATCAAATTGAATCTAAAAAATTTGCAAATCACCAAACAACAAACAAACATCCTACCATCCATCCACATTCTAGACACATCGCCCATTATCGAAGAACCGCCCAAGAAATGTGATATTCGCGAGGGCTATCAGTTGAATATCGCGGAGAACGAGACAATCTCGTATAATGACACGCTGCAGATATATAAGGGCAACAGAATCATAGGAAATATAACCAAGCTGAGCTACCGCTGCCGAGGTTCGCTCCATCGAAGTGCTCGTGCTCCACTTTAGCCACTGAGCACCACAATTTCGTAGCTTTCTGTCTCTCACACAATCACCTATATCAAAAAAAAAAAAAAAACAAACAACAAAATTAAATATCAGCACAACTCCCCTAAAACTCTCTCCTAAAAAAAGTACTTCTCCAGCGTAGATTTTTGTGTAGAGCTCTCTGTGTCTAAAAACCAAAAGAAATTATAGAGAAGTTTCGCTGTAACTGGGTTAGCTCCTTCTGTCTCCTCCATCCTCTCTCCACCTATCTCTTTCTCTCTCTTAAAGTATACACAAATTTTGTGATCTTTCGGTGATCTAAACCTAAAATTAGTCTCTGTCACTATGTGTCTTAGTACTTGTCTCACTCAAGTAGTTGTTTGCCGGCGTAGTCCTCTTCGTCCTCTGTCTCTGTGTGTATATTATCTGTTTTATATATATTGTACCAATCGCAGGATGTGCAAATCAAGTAAAGCCAAGGACAATTGGCCCAGAGGATTCTACCATACAGTTACTCGTAGCCAACTAACCCGAGACTCTGTTCAGTGTGTCCCTACCCCACATGTAACCCACAGTGCGTTTCATTGCCATAGGTTCAGACTTTAGGTCTGAATGAAGGACCTAACCACAAGTTTTTCTAGTACTAACCCCATGTCTCTTATTAGTGATCGATTGATTTGCTTTGATTTCACCGAAATAAAATCCAAGTTAATACCTTAAAAAATAGTTTGTGTAAATAAAATAAAAGTATCAAGTTGCAATTGCCCCCGAAGCGCACTGTCTTTGTGTCTCTTTGTATACCTAACCCCTCGGAGTTAGCTCCGGGATGGGATCTCAGTCCCAATAGTAGTCCAAACTTCGTTGTACTTCCCCTGATATAGGTGTCATTAAACCGCAACCACCTGTCACTAACACCTTATCGAAACAAAAGGCCTTACCCATTGTGCCGTAAGGAACTCTGCATTTTTCTTATTTTATTTGGGTTGTTCCTGGCTAGCGAAAGCCCTTGCCTAATTCAAAACTCTTTATACCCCTCGCTACTCTAGACAACGGCTCACCACAGAGTCCGAATGTGACTGGCTTCAGCCAGATCATTGTGTCCATTTCCAAGCCGGAAATCACCATAGTGCCCGTGGGTGGATCCCTAACCCTTACCTGCAACGGCTACATGCGAAGGAACAATGTAAGTCATGGAATTAGTTTGTGTTTGCTATGGATTTAACTATAATTTGTGGTATTTGCAGGACCCTGTCTTTGTGAGCTGGCACAAGGAGAACAGTCGCATGACCCAGGAGTCGGAGGTTCGTGGCGGTACACTGTATCTGTATAACCTGAAGATTGATGATTCTGGCACCTACACTTGCCGTGCCATTAGCAATGAAACATCTGAATTGTTTGAGGATCGTATCTCCATCACCATTACCCGTAAGTTCTGGCTTTATTTTCTTACTCTCTGAATCTTAAAATTAACAACTTAAAATTATAAAATTTCTAAAAAATGCCTACGCTGAAACAAAAGGATATGCCAAGGAAATGCTGGCACGCTATGGTATTTCAAGCTTAGAGTTTACTTACTCACTTATTTATATTGCCTTTTAAAACTCTATAATATATGCTATATATACTAATAAATCTTTATTATTCTTCCAACAGCTGAGAGCCAACGCAGACCCGCCCAGATTGTCAATTTGCCCAACCATGTGACCTTCGAGGAGTATCAGCAGAATGAGATCGTTTGCGAGGTGGAAGGTAATCCCACGCCGACTGTCACCTGGACACGCATCGATGGCCAAGTGGATGCCCACTCAAGGACCTATGGCAATAGCCTGATCTTTGATTCGCCACGGAAATCCGATGAAGGTCGCTACCGTTGCCAGGCTGAGAATAATCTGAATCGCGATGAGAAATACGTCCAGGTGTATGTCCAGAGCAGTGCTCCGCCACCGAATCCGCCGCGTGATCGTCTGTATATCCAACCGGAGGAGCATAATGGTGTGGCCGGTGAATCCTTCCGTCTTACCTGCCAGACAACGAGTGTGGCCAGCCTGAGATACGAGTGGTCCCAGGAGGGCTATCCGATTTCCGCCTCCGGTTCGCGTAACATCTTCATCAATGGCAACACCCTGGAGGTGCGAGATGCCAGCGATCGTGACTCTGGTACCTACACCTGTGTGGCCTTTGATCCACGCACTCGTCGCAATTTCACCGCCGATGCTCGTGTTTACATTGAGCCTAATCACCAGCCACCGATTGTCGATGGGTAAGTTGAATCCTTAGTTGATAACCCCAAGATCTGTATCTCTCTAACATTTGTTTGTTTTTTGTTGCAGTGTCGGTCCCACAATTGTGCCCTTGGAGGAGCTAATTGTGGTGGAGCAGGGTCGTGATCTGAGCGTTACCTGCCAGGCCAGTGGCTCACCGCATCCGTCTGTGAAATGGACCAAGGTGCATGACCAGATGGCCAACAATGTCCATGTCAGCGGCAATGTCTTGACCATTTATGCAGCCCGTCCTGAGAATCGTGGTCCGTACTCCTGCATAGCCGAGAGCAGCCATGGCACCATTCAGTCTAGCACGAATATCGACATTGAACGTAAGTGGTCAGAGATCCAGATCTGAGATATATTCTACATCCTTTACTGTAGCTTTAGCTTAATAACTAGCTAGGTCTCGTTGTTGTCTAGCTGAGGCCAAGGGTTAACTCCTACAGGATCTCCCCTGATCTCAGCTGAACTCCAAACTCTATCTCTCTTTGAGGAGAATAAGATCCCCAGCTAACCATGTCTTTGCTATCTTGTCTCTCGTCCTGTTGTCTCTCTCTTTCTTCCCCCATAAACACTAACACTGATTTTTACCCTTTTTGAAAACTATTATTTAAACCTGAAACCTAAAAACCTGACCCCGCCCCTTGACCTCTTGATTTGCATTTTGAAACCAAAAAAATAACACACACTTAGTGCACAAGAGTGGAGTCGGTAATAAGACAGGTCCGCACAATCTGATCCTTATACTAATCGGTGCCACCACCATCGTTTGCTTGTTTGCAGCTCGGGAGCGGCCGAGCATTAAGATAGAGTCCGATCCCATCCAGACCTCCTTGGTGGGCGCCCAGGCGTCGCTATATTGCACAGCCACTGGCATACCCGAGCCGAGCGTGGAGTGGGTACGCGTTGATGGCCAGCCGCTCTCGCCACGCCATCAGGTAGAAGGTCGTGGTTATGTTGTGTAAGTGCTCCTTAAATTGTCTTTTAGAGGATTCATTTATATTAATTCAAAAATACATTTGCAGGATTTCTGACATTGTGATTGCCGATGCCGGTGACTACGAGTGCCGGGCCAGGAATGAGGTTGGAGAGGCCTCTGGCGTTGCCACAATAAGGGTACTCGAGGCACCACTGGTGGAAATCCGACCCAGTGAGCACATTCGCCTCACCGAAGGCGATGAGCTGGAGCTGGAATGCATTGCCAGTGGCTATCCCAATCCCCAAGTCGAATGGTCGTCCACAGGTCAACAAAATACACGCGGTCTGACCGGAGGTCTGGGCGGCAGCAATACTGCTGAGATTCATATATATCGCGTCACCCAGGCCCATGCCGGAATCTACACTTGCACAGGCACCAACGAGGTGGCCACCGATCAGCGCAGCGTTCGCGTCGAGGTCCATCCCAAGCGTGGTGATGTTGGCATACGTAGGTGTTCCCCCAAGGGATGTACATCTGTGAAAGGGTAGTCTCTCACTTTCTCTCTCCCCTTAGATGATGACGACGATGGCAACAATCAGGGACCGGAGCCAGGATCTGGTCCTGGACAGCTTCAGCCACGCATGGATCAACTGCAGACGAATATCGGCGACAATGTGACACTGACCTGCGGTCTTCCGGCGCAACTAAATCCACGCTGGGAGCGTGTCGATGGCGCTCCTCTGCCCAGCAATGCCCACATTACCCGCAATAGTCTAGTGATAGTGTTCGTCCAGGAGGAGAATCTGGGACAGTATCGCTGCAGTGCTGTGAATCCCGCTGGCCATGTGGTTTCCTTTGTGGTGCGAGAATTGGTTCAACTACCACTGCCCCAGATTACCTTCTATCCGAAGATACCGTTGAGGGTCGAGGCCGGACGCAATGTGGACATTTATTGTCAGGTGACCAATGCCCGTCCCGAGGATGTTTACTGGAGCACCGATAATGGTCGCCCACTGCCCAGGTATGGATTTATTTATTAACTTGATTATTCATCTATCCATTTATTCATTTATCCATCTGTGCATTTATCCATTTATACATTTATCCTTCTATCCATTCTATGCATTCTTTGCATTCTATTCAATTTATCTGTTCTTTCAATTCTACTCATTCTATCTATTATATCCATTCTATACATTCTATCCATTCTATCTATTATATCCAGTCTATCCATTCTATCCATTCCATAGAATTATCCATCTATCCATCTAAATATTCTATCCATTCTATTCATTCTATCCATTCTATCCATTCTATCCATTCTATCCATTCTATCTATTCTTTCCATTCTTTCCATTCTATCCATTCTATCAATTTGATCAATTTTATACATTTTATCCATTCTATCCTTTTTATCCATTCTTTCCATTCATTCCATTGTATTCATTGTATCCATTCCAGCCATTCTATTCACTCTATCCATTCTATCTATCTATCTATTTATCCATCTATTCATTTATCCATTCTATCTATCTATTTATTTGTATATCTATTTATCTATTTATATCTAATCCATCCTTATCCCTGATTTGGCTATCACTGAACCCCATTGATTCACTCTCCGCCAGCTCCGTTCGCATCGAGGGTAATGTCCTGCGCTTCGAGGCCATCACTCCAGCTGATGCCGGTGGCTATCGATGCACTGCCTCCAATGCCTATGGCAATCGCACTGCAACCCACCAGGTCCAGGTCAAGCCCCCCTATTACCAACCCCTGCCCCAGTCGCAGGTGCAAGAGGCCCGTGAGGGCGATAGCATTCAGCTCCGCTGCACGGCCACCTCGCAGTATGGCGTCGAAGTGAATACCCAGGTGAGTATGCCAAGAGTAAGTCCTTGCATCCTTGAACCATCTTTGTAATACTCGTGGTCTTCTTCTCACAGTTCCGTTGGCATCGCGAGGATGGCAGTGAGTTGCCCCATAATGCTCGCCCGGACAGCCAAGTGCTGATCCTTACCCAACTTCGGCCAGAGGATGAGGGTCGCTATATCTGCGAACAGTACGATGTGGCCAGAGGACGAAGCCTGCCGCCGAGCTCCGTTGATTTGAAAGTTATAAGTGAGTAATACCCAGCGGGTTTTGGGTTCCCGGTTTCCCTCAGGCTCCAGGCTTCCCAGTCCTGTCCGACAAATGCGAAAGGACGAAAGCCAAAGCAGCCTCATCTCCTATCTCTTCCTCTCTGTCCCCCTGAAAATTTTAAAATTTTAAACCAAAAAAGCAATATATATGAATATTAATATTGATAAGATGAAGGAAAGAAACCGAATCGCCCGACCCATTTTTGACCCTGTTAGGCCAGCCCAACAATCGAAAATCAAATGAACTAAAAGCCAGAAACAACCAAAAAAAAATATATATAAACAAATAAATCTTAAAGAAAAAGAGGATAAACTTTAACCAGAGAATAAAGTTCGAAAGGAATTTCCCCCCAGTTAATGTCCAAGGACTAGGCTTTGTTTACGCAGGTTAGATCGTTCGCTGATTTTACTAATTCACCACTATCTCTCTATATATACAAACACACGACTCTATATCAACTTGAATACGCCTCTATATATATATACATATATAGAAAACACATCTATGTACACGTATCTGTTAACCTAAGCTTAAAACCGACCTAAATCAGCTAATTAAGCAACAAAAAACCTGTAAATATGCAAAAGGAAATTGCCATCAAAACAAATCGAACACAATGTCTATGTATGTATGTCCCACACTGTAGGGAGCAGGGTTTTACACACAAACACACACGAATACACTCTGTATATAACCAAAAGCGATATATATATATTTATATCGGTCGAAAATCGATCAATATATATCGTTCATTTGCAAATACTTTACAAAACATGTTGGTGATGACTTCACAAAAAGACAACTCAGCTCCCGACCCGTGTTAAACGATATATATGTAGATATATATATATATGCATGCAAAGCCAAGAATATTGAAAAAAAAATCCTGAAAAAAGAATTCTCTTTGAATTATGATTTTTGTTTTCGAAATTGTAGAAACCTAAGCTGCCAAAAACACACATATATATACATATATATTTACGAACGAACATTTATCTTTTTTTCAAACTTGATAAATCTTAAGTTTACCCAAAAATGGCTGCCAAAGTAAAAAAAAAAACAAACCAAAAACATTACAAACATCGCTAATACGATACACTTAAGTAAACCCCACTAAAAAGTGAGAAATAAAACATAAATATTAACATTAAAAACTTGCACAACAAAACTGTGTAAAGCAAACAACAATTGTAACATATATCTTTTTATTTATTTTCAAAAGACTCTTGCAGTAATAGAATTATTTAAAAATGTATTGCAAAAAGTTGATCCGAGTTTACAAAATAACCCAAGATTTTTTTATAATTTAAATAATATTTTAAAATTGAACTGCAAGGGTATTTCAAGCGTCGGTACTCCGAGGCTCATCTTCTATTTGTGTTGTCTTTATTTTATTAACAAGCTTTTAATGGTGTCGGCTTTCCCCCATCATCGGAGAGATATTGTATCTTTACTGGGCTTTAAGTATCTGTTAGATTAAGTTTTTCTTTTTAAAAGGTTATGGGTTATCTAATGGTCCACTGTTTGTTTGTGTTTTTGTGTAAAAATAAGTGTAAATCAATCATAAAGTTAATTAACTAAAATAGTCACTGCACACAAGTTCTCTCTCTTCACCTCTGTGTACTCTCTGTACTTTATACTCTATAATCTCGACTCTTTACCTGCCACCTCATCACCTGAATTGCACTGAAAAAAAATATATAAAAATATACAACATAAAAAATAGCACCAACGTAACTGTAAATAATAACTTTAAACACTCTTAATGATGTCCTTTTTAAATCAGTTAAAATCAGTCAAACAGTCAGTTGTCAGTGAGAGGAAGTATCCTATATTCAGAATCAGAAATCTATAGTTTTTACAGAGATTTTAAGATTTTTAATTTTTGCAATGAAAGAAACAAATAGAAAACACATTAATTAAACTCATAATTTATTTCTTTCTCTCTCACGCTTTTCTCTCTCTCTCTCTCTCCCACTTTCTTACATGTGCGCTTGTTGAAATATATATATTTTTAAATTTACCTTTTAATTTGACTCTTAAATGGTATATACATTATATGAAAAAACAAAACAAAACACAAACAAATTTAATGGTATGGCATGCAACAATGCAACTCAAAAAACAAACATGATAAATCGATCGATAAATCAATCAATCCAACGACCAATCAACGCCACAATCGAACCACCAACGAAACAACGAACGTAAAAAATCAACAAATATATATATTAATATATATATATTGAAATGTGATAAATCTAGGATACAATCCGTACCCGTTCAAGGGCCACAGCCCCAAAGATATGCCCTGCATGTTTCTGTATATCTGTACAGGTGTGTTACCACATCCCCAGCCGCCCAGCGAGCCTTCCTTATAAACACAAAATTTATATTATCCTTATCCTTACATATTTTTATTTTTGTTTTATTTTATTTTCGTTAATTATTATTTTTTATTATTTGTTTCGCATTTGTTTTGTATTATTAATCTAATGATCTTGAGAAATAATTTGTATTATGTAACATACTACTGCCTAACCCCCTAGAGCAATACAAGTTTTATATAAAAAAAAAGAAAAATGAAAGAAAACCCAAAATAATATCACATAAAAAAAACCTATACGGTTGATATTTTTTAATGACCACAAAAACCCTCATTATACAGAAATCCTGAAATCCTCTAATATATAATAATATCACGATCCCGATTAGAAGATCACTCTCCTCTAGTCTTTAGTCTCCAATCTCCAGTCTCCAGTCTCCAGTCTCCTGCCTCCAGCATGTGTGTGTGTGGAGAATAAGTAATTTTCGTAGCTTTACCTGGGCTTAGGGTAGATCTCCCTGCTCCTACTCTTTTGGTTTTTTATACCCATCCTGTACATATATATATAGTATATAGCCAGGTTGAGGTACTAACTTGCAACCGATGGGCTTAGTGCTGAATGTGAGGCTGCATATACTTTGCTAATTTTATTTATTTTGTGCATTTCCACAACGAAATACTGAAAATACAAAACAATACCAATAATAATGAAATTACTGAAATATCAAAAATACTTTAAATACCCAAATACTAAATATTATACCAAACAAAAAAAAATACTCACATTGTACGGAAACCTACTGAAAATTAACGATATATCGTAAAAATCAAAAACATCGAAAAATAAGCAGACTTCAAAAGCGGCAAACTAACGCCTGCGAAACACTTGACCTCCGGATCGGCTGCAGTGCGTCCAGCTCCACCGTCCACTGTCGCTGCATATGCCTGCCAGCCCAGCGATTTCAAGTGCGTCTCGCATCCGCACACCTGCATCCGGGCGGGAATGGTGTGCGATGGTATCTACGACTGTACGGATCATTCGGATGAGTTCAATTGCATTGCCGGAAGTAGGGGCAAGTCGACATCGAGTGGCAGTTTCAAGCGCTGGAAGAAGGATCTCGGCAGGAGCCCAAGGACAATGCGTGGAGAAGATGGACAAAGGATGAGGATCAGAAAGCGGCATCTCACGGAGCTTATGGGCAGCGGTTGGTCCCAAGTTATCTCTCTCTCTCTCCACAACCCAGCACTGCAACCGACCCGACCTAATCCCTCTCTCTCTCTCAATCTATCTATCTCTATCTATGGTAGCATATCCTTAACTCCTCTTTGTATCCTGTTCCTCGCACCTTTCCGTTCCCCAACACTTAAACTCAACTGTACCCAGCTGTTATACTATTTCGTTCCTCTTTCCCTTTGTCTCAACTGTACCAATCCCCACGTATCCTTTTTATCTTCTATATCTTTCTATCCCATCCTTTTCCCATCCTGTTTCTACCCCTCGCTGTCTAATTCTCTTATGCTCGTGGGTGCACAAAATCGTAGAGTTAAAACGATTGCAATTGGCACTCAATGGATAAGGGTCTATCGATATCCGATAACCGATAACCGACCAGCGAAATAACCGATCAACAAACAGCACCAATTACAAGCTTCCTGTGGATGCTATCAAAGAGCAAACGACGCACGCACTCGATGGGTTTCAAGTAGCTTAAGACGTAACCGTTAACGATGATGAAAGTAACCAACAAGTATTGATAAACGATAACCAAACGATCTGCCAAACGATCGATCGCATAACCTAGATACTTTTGCAGCATTCTTCAGGTTTCGGCTATATGTATATATATAAATATGATCTGCATGCGCCAGGCTACGGCTACGATATGTTACTAACTATAGCTTGTAATTTAGTTTAGAATCTTTTGAAATTATTGTATATAACACTAAACATTTACAAGCACATACACACACACATAAACATATACATACGCACAGTCACCCGATAAATGATAGATAGTAATCGCCTCTTTGTATAATATAAAGATATATATATCAATAACTGTAGCAAAACACCTCTGTATATGTGATAAACAAACCGGAAATGAAACATGTGCGAAATTAAAGTGGTAACCCAAGTCCAAATTAGATATGTAGAATTCGACGACAAAAAAACCCATAAAATTAAAACAAATACTACGAGTACAAAAAAGTACCAATCTAAATGAACCCATTCGTAACCCCACATTTATTCGTGTATTCTGTGTGATTCGATCCTTAGAAGTACTGAGTAAATGTAGCTCCATCAAGTAGTTCCCCAAATCACCACTCCACCTAGTCCCCTCTCTGTCGATCTCTCTCTCTCTCTCTCTCTGTCTCTCCTTATGTATATCGTATATCGTATATCTCTATGTATTGTCTAACTAGGAAACCAAATTCCAAAAACAAAAAACCAAATTAAAACTAAAACAAAACCAAGTGCGATATGCAATCGAAGCAGGATCGGTTACTTGTTATCTTTATAATAAAAAAAATAAATTTGATCCATAACAAGATCGATAATAAATCAATATCGATTAACCAAGAACCGATTATTTCGATAAGTATCGCCTTATTTCTGTTTGAACCCAAACTTTTTTGACATGTAATTTTGCTAACTGTTTTTCTCTCTCTGTGTATTTTTTACTATCTTATTCCCATTTCCATGACTCACTACACACACTATACACACTATACACACACACCTTACACACACCCATACACGCCACACACATTATACATGCACCTTGCACTTGTGAATTGTCGCTGAATTGTGAACGTTCCGCCGACCATCCTTCGTCCTTCGTCCGTTGCCGTCTATCTGTGTGTGTCCCGGTGTCTGGTGTCCGGTGATCGGTGATCGATGGTCCTGGTGTCCCGGTTGGATCCTATAGCGGTCGGCCCCGTGCCTCCACCGATGCCCCACTATCCCGAATACCAGCCACCGGCTCGTCCGGAGCCGCAAGAGGAGCGTCCGCGGGACTATAGCCTGAAGCTGGACCAGCAATCGTCGAATCTGCGCGTTGGTGAGTCCACCGAAGTGGAGTGCTACTCCTCCGATGATACCTACACGGATGTGATCTGGGAACGGGCGGATGGAGAACCGCTCAGCAATAACGTGAGGGTAAGTATCCCCTCCTCCAACCTAGTTATTTGATATTAATAGAATCTCATCCCTACAGCAAGCGGGCAACCGTCTGGTGATCAGTCACGTGGATCCCTCCGATGCTGGCAACTATGTGTGCAAATGCAGGACCGATCAGGGAGATCTCTACACCACCAGCTATGTCCTGGAGGTCGAGGATCAGCCCCACGAGCTGAAGAGCTCCAAGATCGTTCATGCCAAGGTCGGTGGCAATGCTCAGCTGCACTGTGGTGCCGATGAGAGTCGTCAGCCCACATACCGCTGGTGGCGTCAATACGGACAACTCCAAGCCGGACGCAGTCTGGCCAATGTAAGTCCTCTGAAAGGAAGCTTTCCATTTGCAGCAATTAGTAACCTTTTCCCATTTTTTGCAGGAGAAACTATCCCTGGACAGTGTTCAGGCCAACGATGCCGGCACATATATCTGCACAGCCGTTTATGCCGATGGCGAAACAGTGGACTTCCCCAACATTCTGGTGGTCACCGGTGCCATTCCACAGTTCCGTCAGGAGCCACGCAGCTACATGAGCTTCCCCACGCTGCCCGACTCCTCCTTCAAGTTTAACTTTGAGCTCACCTTCCGCCCGGAGAACGGTGACGGTCTCCTGCTCTTCAATGGCCAAACGAGGGGTACTGGCGACTACATTGCCCTCTCCCTGAAGGACCGCTATGCCGAGTTCCGCTTTGACTTTGGCGGCAAGCCCCTGTTGGTCCGTGCCGAGGAGCCGCTGGCCCTCAATGAGTGGCATACGGTGCGTGTGCATCGTTCCCGACGCGACGGATATATCCAGGTGGACGAACAGCATCCGGTGGCCTTCCCAACGCTACTCCAAGTGCCACAGCTGGACCTCATCGAAGACCTGTATATCGGTGGCGTGCCCAACTGGGAGCTACTTCCGGAGGAGGCAGTATCCCAGCAAACCGGCTTCATCGGTTGCATCAGCCGCCTGACCCTCCAAGGACGCACCGTGGAACTGATGCGCGAGGCGAAGTTCAAGGAGGGCGTCTCCGATTGCCGGCCGTGTGCAGACCGCCCATGCGCCAACGATGGCGTCTGCCTTGAGAGCCAGACGGAGCAGGCCTACACCTGTGTCTGCCAGCCGGGCTGGACGGGCCGTGACTGCTCCGCCCGCGGTGCCCAGTGCACGCCAGGCGTTTGCGGTGCCGGACGCTGCGAGAACACCGAGCAGGACATGGAGTGCCTCTGTCCGCTGAACCGGACCGGAGACCGCTGTCAGTACATCGAGCACCTGAGCGAGCACAGTCTCAACTTTAAAAACAACAGCTATGCGGCCTACAACACACCGCGAGTGACGCGGATCAACATCACGCTATCGGTGCGTCCCTCCAGCCTCAGCGACTCTGTGCTCCTGTATGCGGCCGAATCGAGCCTGCCCAGCGGTGATTACCTGGCGCTGGTGCTCCGCGGCGGTCATGTGGAGCTGTTGATCAACACGGCCGCCCGCCTGGAGCCGGTGGTGGTGCGTTCGGTGGAACCATTGCCCCTGCATCGCTGGACCCGCATCGAGTTGCTGCGACGCCAAGGTGAGAGCATCCTGCGCGTGGGTGATGCTCCAGACCGCAAGGCCAAGGCCCCAGGCTCGGGACGTATCCTATCTCTGAAGACGCCGCTCTATGTCGGCGGCTATGATCGGTCGACGGTGAAGATCAACCGGGATGTGAACATAACCAAGGGCTTTGATGGCTGCATTTCACGACTCTACGACTCGCAGCGTTCCATCCAACTGCTGGCGGACATCAAGGATGCAGCGAATATCCAGAATTGCGGTGAACTCAACGAAATTGGTGGCGCCAATGGGGACAGTGACAGTGATAGCGATAGCGAGCCAATTCCACCGCCATCACCGGAGATCTCGGACAATCGGGACGGAGATGAACTGCAGCCATATGCAATGGCTCCCTGTGCCAGTGATCCCTGCGAGAATGGCGGCACCTGCCGCGAGGAGGAGCAGCAAGCCATCTGCTCCTGTCCCCTGGGCTTCAGCGGCAAGCACTGCCAGGAGCGTAAGTTTAAAGCAGATCCCATATACAGTGCCAAAAGTAATCCTTGTTAATCTTTTATAGACATCCAAGTGGGCTTTAATGCCTCATTCCGAGGCGATGGCTATGTAGAGATCAATCGCACTCAGTTCGATCCCGCCGTGGAGCAGGAGTACAGCTCTGTGGCCATTGTCTTCACCACCACCAAATCTGATGGCCTGCTGGTCTGGTGGGGCCAAAAGGCTGGCGAGGAGTACACCGGTCAGGATTATCTGGCCGTGGGCATTGTCGATGGCTATGTGGAGTACTCCCTGAGGCTGGATGGCGAGGAGGCGGTTATCCGCAATAGCGATACCCGTGTTAATGACGGAGGTCGGCATATTGTGATTGCCAAGCGGGTGGATAACACCGCTATGCTGGAAGTGGATCGCATCCTGCACTCGGGCGAGACACGACCCACCGGCGTGAAGAAGATGAAGCTGCCGGGCAATGTGTTCATCGGTGAGTCCCTCTTTCTCTGCTTGATCCTTCTTTGACTGAAATCCTTTATGTACTATGTGCAGGTGGCATTCCGGACATTGCTCGGTTCACGGGCAACCGCTACACGCAAAACTTCAACGGCTGCATTGTGGTCGTCGAGGGCGAGACCGTGGGCCAGATCAATCTGAGTCCTGCCGCCGTCAACGGAGCCAATGTCAACGTCTGTCCCGCGTAAGTATCCCAATTATCTTTCTCCTAGATCAGTTTTCCTCCTTGTTGTTGGCTCTGCTTCGATTTTAATCCCCGCCTGCCTTGCCTCAGTCATTGGCATCCCTCTAGCCTTGTCTACCAAGAGATCAGTGATGACATCGATGTGGATTTGGACACGGCCTGGGAACCAAGGGACTCCAGCGAAGCTGGCTTCTTTGATGAGCTGGATCAACCGCCACCGGTGCATATCTTCTATCCGCGTCCCAAGCTCAGCGAGTTTCCCGTCAACCGGGCTCTATCGTTATCCATATCGATCTTGTTATCCATGGGCCCATCGATCGGGCTTCTGGGAGGAATTCCTCCCTGCCTGCTGCCTGCTCCTAGCTAGGCTTGAATAATTGGAGATCGATTGCAGAATCGATATCAAATCTGACTGAGCAGAGTCTCCATGGAAGCCCCTTCCTCTCCATTAACTTGTAAACGGATGTGGAACTGATCAATAATCGATATCGATAAGGATATCTTGGTTCCATATCCGTTAATCCTAAAACAGAAGAGTGGCTATGACACTTTTGAAGTTTGCGGAACTCGGAGCCTTGAGCAACTGGATAGTATTATAATATCCCATAACTTAGGTAGTTGAATTAGAAATATATATAGTTTCTAAAGCTCATATATATTTTGCGGAATTATTTGTAGAGCTCAATATTAACTAAATATTATTTCCAAATTTGATGACGAGTTCCAAGCAAAAGTGCCATAGCCCCTGATGATTACTATATCATACCATTGGGAGTGTTACAATTGAAATTATCGTGCCATATCATCGCAGAATATCATGTTATATTATACAAAGTATAGTTAGAGTCGCCAGCCACATACATGAAGTTAGATAATCGTCTAGAGTTAAGATATATCCTAAAGGTAACTAGGACTATAAGCTCGAACATTTTTTTTTCATAGTCAATTAGGTAGCACCAGAAATATGTATTGTTACAGATCTTATCTAGTCTTAGCCACTTCTAGTTGGATTGTTCTCGTTTCGAAGCCAAGCTCAGGGCACACCACTTGATAGCTATATACACACATAAATCTGATTAAATATCGATCTATACATAGGTAGAAATTTGTGCTTAGCTAGGAAGATTCCTTAGATCCCTGCTTAACCCTAAAGTCCAGGGCATTTCCCATAGTTATACTTGTGAATTAATTTCCCTGATCTCAAAAAGAGCCATCGTTTTATCTAGTTCTGAAATTTGAAAAGCGTTTCCAAATTATCCTTTAAATATATTATATGAAGTAATTATTATAAATATATATAATCTGGTCGATCTATATGTAATCTAAGTAACGAATGATGGAGAAATCAAAGTTCTTCGCGTTGAGACAAAGTCTGATATTGCAGCTTAGCGAGGCTTTTAACCAACACTGGCTTATCCTGTTTTGTCCAGCACTAAAAACAGTAATTAATGAATATTTAGCTGACTTTTAGTTAGTGAATTGAGTTGGGGAAATATGAATGAGTGTGTTTATGTTTTTTTTTACATTATATTTATTGTGTTTCTTAGTTAGAAAATTTCATTTAGGAAGCCTTTTAACCAACTCTGATGTTATCTTAGTTTTGCAACACTGTTTATAAATATCAAGTTATGTTTATATTCCTATATCTTCCTTAATTTTTATAGCCTTCTTTTACTTAAATTAAATTTATGATTTCCCTAATTTCCCCAATTTTCCCATATTTTCTTATATTTTTTATATGATTTATACATCAGTCACGAAGAGCTCCTGGGAGGAACCGAACCGCCAGTCGTCTGAGGACACAACCAGCAACCGAAATTAGCTTTTTAATTAAATAACATTAACAAAAACAAAAAAACAAAAAGAAAACCATTTTTATATATACACAACATACGAGAATAAGCCCAAGCAAAACAAACCAACTAAAAAAAATATTAAATATTATATGGCGTAAAGATATGAAAACCAAAAAAAAAGAAAAAGAAACGATCACTTCTACAACTAAATTGAATGCTTCTTCGATCCTTAAGTCTAAGTTAAAGATTGTTAGCAAGGAACAAGCGAATATCACAAAAACAAAATACACACGCACACCTTTTTTTTTTAATATAAATCAACCTGCGAGAAGTGAAACGAAACAGAAACAATAATGCAATTTAATGCAAATTACGCAGATAATGCTGAATAATACAAATACATAATGCAGATAAAGCCTAGGATTAAAGAACTAACTAACTAACTCGAACAACAACAACAAAAACGCATACTAGCCAACTTGCAAACCACAACAACAAACAGCAGCAAAACACACCACCAAAAGCAGTAAATGCTCAATAGTTGAAGGCATTTGATATATTTTATATTTTTAGTTTCCTAGCTTGTAACTACAACTACGACTCTATTGTTCTTTATTATTTGTTTTGTGGAAGACATCCCCCAGTGTAAAATCGGAACGCACACACTCACGTTATTAATTAAATTAAATACCAATTGATACCGTTTAATGATAAACAACAACAACAAAAAAAAAACCTACCAACTATGAATGCAACTATTGTGAACGAACGAAAACTGTTGAGTGGATAAAAAGCAACAAAAGCAACAAGCAGAAGATATATTAAAATGAAATCAACAACAATTTTGGCACGTGTTTGCTTTCGGGTTAAAGTGGGAGATCACAGGACCAGCGAAACCTGCAAGGGAGAGGGAGAGAGTGATGGTGAGAGAGAGCCGAGCCACTCGCGCAGCTTCTGGCGCTCATTTGTGCTTCGGCTCGCCTCGTACGACTGCAAGCGGTAAGTGTTGTTCGTTTAGCTTTTTTTAAATTAAAGCTATCATAGTTGAAAATCTAACAACTTCAATGTAAATCAATATATATTTAAGTATATATGTTTATTTACACAGATATTTATTGAGCAGAATTTGTCATAATACTTGCCATGCCTTACTAACTATAAAAATCGATTTACATATATACGACCTAGAAAACATACGAAATTAACATATTAAGTATCATTTTAATATAATTGAAAAAAATGTAGGTCAATAATATTTGCATTTGAGTGCAGCATGTACTTTTGAGTGTAACTCGTATTTTAGCTTTTTTCACTCCAAATCTAGCGTGGCCGGTCCGTCACATCTGGCAACACAGCGCGGTGTTCTCTCGGCTGCTGCCTTTGGTTCACTTCGCTTCGCACCGCCGAGCGACACAGTCGAAGAAAAGAAAAACAACGAAAAAACAATAAGAAATAAGAAAGAATATTAAACCACCGACTCTTGGCGCCTCGTCGTGTTAATTTAATATATTTAGTTACTATTTTTTTTGGTTCGCGACTGTTTTAAAACCCAGTGAGTGTTTATTTAAACTGTACTTGCAAACCCAAAGAGAAGAGAAGAGCAGAAACGAAAGAAAACAGAAGGGTCCCAAAGAAAATACCGCAAATCTGCCGCGAGAGAGCGAGAAAAGTTCGTGTGCCAAGTTTGTTTTTATTTTTATAACGGCAACCGGCTAAAACGAAGCGTCGTCGTCCCCGCAAACACTCAATAACAATAAATTATACGGTCCGGTCAATAATTCCGAAAATGTTTGTCAAATGTAGTGAATGAAATGAAATTTCCGTATTCAGCAGGGATGCCGCAACCGAAGATCGAACATTAAATATCGGCGGATGTGACTAAGGGCCACGAAATTCAATTTAAAGTGATGCCAATCTCTGTGATTTTCTTTTTTTTCCCGTTCGTTCTCATGTGTGTATGTGTTAGTGGTCGAAAGGCTTTGAAAATGCCATATAATTTTAATAGGTTTATTTTATTTGGGTTGCCTTCTTTTACTTTGCTTTTTTTTTCTGTTACTTCGTTTTGTCGTTTGCTATTTTTTTTTTTTTGTATGAGAAAAATCGCAAGAATGCCGACGCGCAAAGTGATCAAAATCTAATCAAAATATTTACCGTTCGTTTAGCGCTGCAAAGAGAGTGAGCGGAAGAGAGGACATCCCTTGCCTTGCCCTTCGGAAATCGCAAATCGCTGGAAATCGCAGCAGTTGCAGGTGAGTGTGCGTAACGGTAAAAATGTCTTGTCTGGAAAGTAGTTCAGCTGGTCAGTTGAGTCCGTAAATGTCCGTAAGACCCAGACCCCGGGGCCCCCCTGCTCTGCCTTCCATGCAGCCATACTGCCATATCGATCGATTCCAGTTGACAGGTTTGTGCCTATGCTTGTGGTTATGTCCTTTTTTGGGCCGCCAGGTGACCAACTGTCGTCCGATCGTTGGCCGATGGCCAATTGCGCCGATGGCCAATTGCCGACCGCCGACTGCCGTTACTTTATGTGTCAGCAGCGATGCCCCCAAAACGATGTAACAACAACAACAACAAGAATAACAACGACGGGCAGAGCAAGTGCTGCACATCAAATTTATCACGAACATAAACCAGAGAACATCCAAGTATCAAACCTGCCAGGGGGCGGTGTGGGGAGTAGTTTGGCTCCTCACCCCGATTTTAAGACCATCCTTCATTTCCCCTTTTCTGCTCGTTGATAACATTAATGAACTGTCTACGACTGAGCACCAGAATAGAAAAGCCAAAAAGGAGAGAGGAGGAGAGTCAGAGTCAGCTAGAGAGAGAGAGAGAGAGAGGCGTGCACAAATACAGTGGGACCTCCTTTAGCAATTTCCAACTCCTTTTGGCAATGAATACTTAAGCTTTAAAGTAAAAGTATTAAACTGTACAGATTCTTGATTATTTAAAATGTAATATTTACGCCATAAGTTGGCATCTCTAATTTAATGGTTTATCCATATCAAACTTTTCATACACAACAAGTTCGTGTTAGCCAGGTTCCCCTGTCCTCGGCCAGAGAGGCACGCATATTTTGGTTGCCATTGGCAAAAGGTGAGAGAGCGGAATGCAACAGGTAGAACCAGATCAGGGGAGAGCGCGTCAGAGAGGGAGAGGGAGAGGGAATGCAAGTGCTGCACATGCTGATCCTGGTTGGTAACGAACGCCCCTTGCTGTCTCGCTTGTTGCTATTGCCTGGTAACGAAACTCAGTATTCCCATTTTCCTGCGCAAACTATAAATCAATGGCAGGGGGAAAAGCCCAACAATAAAAATCAAGGCAAGTGTCGTCGTCGTTGTCTCATTCTGCTGGCTAAAAAGGGAAGGGCCAGCCAGGACAGGACAGGGACTGGGCAGTGAGATGAGAATGGGAATGGGAATGGGATGACGATGAGGATGAGGATGAGGATGGGAATAAGAATGGTCACTGGGCAGAGGCCTCCGCAGCGACGTCGGCAGAGCCTTTGTCTTGTTGTTGATGGGATTTCATTATTACTTTCGATTGTGGCCCATTGAGACAGAGTTCCTTCTGCGCTCTCCTCCTCCCTTTTCTCCCTCGTTCTTCACTCGCCAGGGCTCTTGGTTTTTCGTTCTTCATCGAAAGTGCAGACAAACAAAAAGGTCTCTGGGTCCAAACAAAAATAAACACACCGGAGAGCAGCACCATCATCATCATCATCAACGTCATCGTCTCCGTCTCCGTCTCCATTCGCATTCCCATACCCATGCCCAATTCCCATTCCAAATCCCAATCCACATCCATATCCACATCGTCATCTTGCCGAGCTCCTTTGCTGCACTCTAATCGCATAAGCAGATAGACCAGGTGAATGAGGATGAGAATGGGCCACACTGAACGAAGGTAGAAAATAAATAAAGCGATAAATGGAAAATAAATTTCAAAAAATTGCTTTTCAAGTGGGCCCACGAAGGTTCTCTCCTACAGCTCACCCCATTCATTGGGCCCCCCGCCCACGAGTTGTGTGTTCCCTGGTGGCCTCGACGGGGCTACCGATCTGAAACTTGGCCAGAACAGGTCCTCTGCCTTGGTTTATCTTTGTATAGTAAAACCATTTGAATAGGTTTAGCATAAACCAAGATAATTGGGTTGGTTTCGTCTATGTCTTTTAATCAAGTCTTCATGTCCTCTTGATTAAAGCCTTCAACTAATGATTATTTCAGTTAATCAATTTGCAGCCACAATTTATTCTGTATGCCATTTCTTGCCATAATTCTCCCCTATTCGATGCGCTCAAATTTCATGGCCAAAACGATCTTAGAGATCGATTCTCGCACTCCATTAATACTGATCCACTGATCTAGTTTCCCAGCCATACATATGTATATCCCCATTAAAACCATATCTCACAGTCATAATGAGGAAAGCAGAACGCCTTTTGCCCGAGTGCATTTACCATCAAAATTAGACATAGACATTGACACCTTTTTCCCCTGACCAGCGATTTCGATTTCGATTGGTATTTGGATTTTGATTTGGATTTAGTTTTGGACTCAGATTCAGATTCAGATTCCAATGAAACGGATTTTGGTTCCGTAAAAACGGCGCATAAAAATCATTTCACGCCAAACCGAATGGGCCCCAGAAATTATGATTAATGTTGAAAACATAAATTGGATTTGATTTCTGTTTGTTTGCCGCTTTCGTGCAGCTTTTTCTCGCTCTTTTTTCGGTGGTTTTTTGTTGGGTTTTTTGTCTCGGCCTGGTCTTCATGGGCTTTTTTTATATATTTTATTTAATTTTTTTTTGCTAGGTAGCCGCCGCCGCCTGTTCATTAGCACAGACTAATCATTGGAGCACAAGAGGCGGCCGCAGGGCAGGCGGGCAGCTGGGGCAGAGAGGAGGGCGGGTTCAAGCCCCAAAGGTGGCAATCAACGTGAATGAATGAATGGTTGAACTCGCCACGACTCGACTCGAGTCTTGTGAATGAGCCTGGGTTTTGAGACTGACACAGAGACTGCGACTGAGCCTGAGACGGCATGAATGGGGGCCCTCTACTTGGAGGAGAAGGAGGAGATCTTCACATTTTTTTTCTTACGTTTTTTCGTTGTGATCTTCCCCTTGAGCGGAAGTGTAATTGCAGGCCGAATTGGCCCGGATTCCGATTCGGATTTGGAATTGGGAGTCGTCTCTTTACGAGCGGCGTCGTCTCTGCATCAAAAAAGGTAAATTAGCTTCACAAACTAAACCAAGAAAAAAATAAAAGAAGAATAAAGACAAATGATGCTGAAGTAGCTGAAGAATCCAGGGAAGATAGAAGAAGCCGCAACCGAAAACGGAAGCGCATTACAAGCCGCCAACGTAATATGATCACATATGTTCACCGTCTGAACATTGCCACGCCCACACGTCCCCGACAAGGAGGGGGAAAAGAAAGGTTAATCGAGGGGATGGGGGTATAGATGCAGAGGTGGAGGCCAGATTCTTAGGCACGTAGATCTCCAGCTTATCTCACTAAAGACATCGGTAGCCATGGATATTGGATAGAGAATTTTGTTGGTTCCCCAAAAACTAGAGGGAACTATATAGGAATTTTATGACTGAATACGTGTGCTCAGTATTTTATACCAAAACTGATAAATTCCATAGAAATTAGAAATATTAGTGACTATTTCCAAGGATAACACCATAACTCACTAAATATATGATACTGTACGGAAATGCCTTAACTACCAAATGTCTAAACCCAAAACAGAAGCAGCAGCAGCAGCACGAGGAGGTAGCAATCGGGAGCAAAACTGGGTTTTGGAGTGGGTTTTCGGGTTCTAGAGTGGGAGTACGGAGACCAGGGACGGGGACACACAAAGCGAGAGTAGACAGTAGTGCATAAATAAATGTTCCCCGCCGTGTTCGTAGCACTTTTCTTATCAGCGGGGACATCGGCGGGCCGTGACGATGACAACGGGCAACATGGATGGCATGGATGGCATGGATGGCACCGGCGACGGCGACAGCAATCAGAGCGCTTTGCGGCTGCGCGACAGCAAGAAAGGGAAACGGAGACAGACAGGAAGTGGGCTATTTGCACACCAATCCCAAAACAAGTCATAATTTTCGACAATGGGCCGACGACAGACGACATGGAATCCGGACGGACACGCTCGGTTACGTAGAATTCGGAATTCGGTCCTCTATCGTCACAATCTCCTCCTCCTCCTCCGCCGCCGACTCCTCCTCCTCCTCCTTTTGGCCGGATCAGTCCTCAGTTTTGATAAAGTGGCTCGTCGGCGGGACGAGAGACATTTAATAAGCGACAATTTAGCGCTGAGTCTGACATTGACACAGGTAGAGGAGGGTCGGGTCGGAGTTAACAATGGTAGCTGGCTGGTTGGCCAGGTAGCGCTCGGAGGAGGAACTCTGGCAAGTGTTCGCTGGGAAATACAGAGGGATGTTGCGGATGTGATATCTTCTGGAGCGGATCAGTCCTGGAAATGGGCCCCGGGTTCTGGTCTATAAAACCAATTTTAAACGCTCTTGAAGGCAGACAAAGGAGGTCTAGGAATATCGGATCAAGAGCAGTAAAGTGAATGAAACGATATTGGAATTTAAATAAGGGTTACTTGAAAATTTAAAAACTAAGAGTCAAGCAATTGAATCATAATCTGGAAAAGAATGTAAACACCTAGGAGGAATATATCAGATCAAGAAGTAAGGCAGAGTCTAGCTGAATCAAGTAATTAAGTTTATCAATTTGAATCATGGTGCCCTCAGCAACAAGGCAATGAATGAATAGACATAGGAAACGGGTCGCTGGAATCAAAGCCATATAATAGAACATCAACCGAAACAATAGAAAGCTCATGGCTAATCAATGAATCAACATAAAACCAAATCGACTTGATGGATTAGAGTCTCCCCACCTTGCATCTCTGTCTTCAGCCGCTCGTTCCTCTCTTTCCGGCACACACCTGTTGAAGGCAGTTTTTAATTAGAGCCTTACCCAGAGTGTCTAGGGAGTCAGAAAGGGTTACGGGGGCCTTGGGTTCGGAGCCCTGGGGCTGCAATGATGTATTCATTTCCCACAAAACGCTGTGAAAATATTGAATAATCGAACTGCTTCGATTTCCGACCAACTAACTAACTAACCATCGACACTCGACTCCCTCCCGGGGGTCACTGGGAGTTGGAGCTGCCCAGCACGTAGCTGTCAGCGTTAGAAGATCGGGTGGAGACCGGTGGTGACCGCCAGCTG